GCTTATATAATTGTGAAAATGTCTACATCGTAGGTTTGTAGGATTTTCTGTTCTTGGATCTTTTTGTCCGGTGACATTCCTCCAGCATTTCACTGGGGGATCTGAAGACGTTGTAATTCGCCTTGACGAGAGCGATTTTTCTTATAGCCTTTTGTAAAGCCAATCATAATAAATCAAAGTCAAGAACGAATGCCTAGTGATAGACTTTTTTGCCGTAAGAAAATACGTTGTACAGGGTGCACAACATGGAGGTAATTCTATCGCACACCCCATAACTAAGATGTTATAGTCCCGATTAATTGAACTTGATTTAACTAAAGAATTGCAGATTACTAAATGAAATGTTTCACAAAGTGGTGGTTTACAAATTAATTGCTTGAAAATTTGAAATGCCTGTTTAGTGAATAAGAGGTAGTTTCATAGTTTTTTTAGTTCAAGGAATTAGACGCTTGGTTATTTGCTTGATCTATGAATTATTTATCATTTTCAACATTACTTAAAGTGCACTTTGGAAATCTCCGCCTTAGTCTTTGGTTAGATATATTTAAACACTAATGGATGTGTACATAATACATATAGCGCATATGTTTGTAACACATTAAAGATTTAAGTTGGCGAATTTAATGCAAACATTATTTAAAAAAATATCTCTGAAACCAATTGATTGAGATTAAAATTGTTTACCTTGTAAAACTGTGTAGAGTATTGCTAATGAAATGCTTGCAAATCAGACGTAACATTTCTCAAGGTTTTTATTACTTTTATTTCATATGTGTATGTAATAGAAGCCTGTCAGTCATTCAATTTATTTATTCACAATACATTTTAAATAATAAGGGCAAATTAAAAAGGTTTTTCATGTGGAATCTCAAACGTTTAAAATGATCAATAAGAAAGTGAGCTAAAGGAGCAAAGCCAAAATAAGGAAATAATAAATCAATACTGTATATAGAACTTTCAACCAAAACCTTCATAAATTTTACACATTTCAAATTAAACACCTGGCTATTGCGTTGCAATCTTTGTCAATCCTATCGGAAAATATTTAAAAGCAAAATAATTTGACTATTTGAAATAGGTAGGTATAGAAAAAATTCGGTACCATCGCAAGAGTTATTAACCAAATTAAACTAAAACAATTTTATAAAATATTATAATTTGCTCACCAATGAGAATATAAGATTATAATGAATATTAGATCATCGAATAAAAGGAAACATGTCTAATATACCCCTGTTTATACCTTTTATTGAGAATTACGTTTTCCCTGTAGGTTACTCTATACCACAAAAAATGTATGCAAGCAAGTGTTGCAGGAATGGGAACTTCTTGTTCTTTAAAAAGGAAGCGTTTGACTCACATTCAATCCTTATGTTTTACATAAAATCTATTATGGTAAAAAACTGTGTATTAGTTGAATTTCCATCCAGATTACAATTTACCTTCAATTTTGTCAATCCCCGTCATTTTATTGGAATAGTAGTATGTATCTGAAAACGATAGAGACATGTCTGAGCAGTTCATTAGCTGTCTTCTTGCTTCCCAGTATCTCTGGCTTTCCGTCGTTGTCTTTAGAGCTGGACATCGAATCATGTGGGTCTTCTCTATTTCCTGCTGTAGGTTACATTGAGGGCATGTGGGTTGAGTGTATAATCCCAATCTGTAAAGATGTTTAGCCAGTGTATACTCCCAATCTTTGAAGGTGTTTTGCCAGGCAATCCGTCCGGTACGTAGTCTAAACTCAGCAACGGCTTCGATTCTTGGCCAAAGTAAACTCAGCAACGGCTTCGATTCTTGGCCAGTCGGCAACGGCTTCGATTCCTGGCCAGTCGGTTATATCGGAGAGTGCCAACTGTTCTCCTTTGTTCGAGCTTTAAGTTCGTTGCACCTTGACTGTATACTCCCAATCTTTGAAGGTGTTTTGCCAGGCAATCCGTCCGGTACGTAGTCTAAACTCAGCAACGGCTTCGATTCTTGGCCAACGTAGTCTAAACTCAGCAACGGCTTCGATTCTTGGCCAGTAGGCTATATCGGAGAGTTTGCCAACTGTGTTTCTCCTTTGTTCGAGCTTTAATTTCGTTGCCTTCTCCTTTGTTCGAGCTTTAAGTTCGTTGCACCTTGACTGTATACTCCCAATCTTTGAAGGTGTTTTGCCAGGCAATCCGTCCGGTACGTAGTCTAAACTCAGCAACGGCTTCGATTCTTGGCCAAAGTTAAACTCAGCAACGGCTTCGATTCTTGGCCAGTCGGCAACGGCTTCGATTCCTGGCCAGTCGGTTATATCGGAGAGTGCCAACTGTCCTTTGTTCGAGCTTTAAGTTCGTTGCACCTTGGGGTCTAGAATTCACTTCTGATTAAGGCCTTCATTGTGTGGAAAGACGACGGGCGGTCCATGCATTGCAAAAACGTTGTCCCCCTCTTAGCAAGTGTGTCAGCAAGCTCATTGCCTTTAATGTCACAGTGACCAGGAATCCATTGTAGGACCTCTGTTTTGTTTTTCTCTCTCAGAAGCTGATAGAGTTTTTTTACATTCCTTTATTTCAGCTATTTTGGGTGGCTCTCTGCTTCCAATTGAGTTTATTGCTGACTGTGAGGCTAGAAAATTTAAATTCAGTTATAATCACTTGCTAATGAGAATGAATCAATAATTGCCTCAGTTCCACGTGACTCCTACTTTTGTTAAATTTGAATCAGACTACTTTAGTAAAATGCTATTATTTAATATAATCGCCCTAAATCATTAAAAAGGATTTTATACTTCGATTTGAATGCAGTATTTATTTATAAAGAAACGAATGGCTGTCTAGTTGTTCATTTTCATTATTTGCCGTTTTTAAATTTCTCATTGTAATGTCAATGCTCTAACTTAGAATTATGGTTTGTCCATATATTATTAGGTATTGCATTGTATTATATATGCTAAACGCATGGGCTACAATAGTTATCTAGCTTTCAGTAAGTTAACTAAATATCCTGAAATACTTGAATTTATTGTAAGGCTGATGAAAAACAATGTCGTTTGGTTTCGAATCTTTATCTTCATCTCGAAAGAACATCTTCTTTCTTTAAGCACCTCATACGCTACAATTTGCGGTGACATTTGCTTGCCTTCTGTTAATTACAAATAGTTTTAATCCTCTAACATAGTTTAATTTACATCTTTGGAAGTGACTAAATTTCATGCTTTCTAACGTTACAGCAACCAATGCAATTAAATATATCTGTTGAGATGAGCAAACAAGTTATTAATAGAAGAAAAACATAGTTTAGAACATTTATTTATTGAAATCTTTCTTTGCTAATCTTCACCTTTCGTTTATGTCTTGTTTCCAATAAGTGATTTTAATACCATGGGGTCACGAAGCATTGGGTTTCACGTTCTCGTTAGTCTAGTTGAATTCACTGTTCTATGCAGGACAATGCACGTGGTGGAAAAAGGATTTTACTTATTTGATTCATTTTAGAGATATCATCTATTTATCTTTTTATTAAAAAAAATCTACTTTGATAGATTGAGGTAGTGATCAATTTATTATCTTGCATTCAGGGCTTCATTAATTTGATTTTGTATTATTTTGTTTTTGAAAAATTTCGCACTTCTTCCATTGCATGGCAGAATTTTCTGTGCTATATTACCATAAGCCAATGTAGTTAAAGATAGGTGATTGCCTTTTGTTGAATTTATCAGTTCAAATTCAGCAAAAAGGCTTTAAAATATAAAAATTACGAGCTTAATTTATTTGTGATCACATCGGGGCTTCAATTTTAATTTAACTCGTTTATTTTAAATATGGCTGCAAATCCAGCGAATTTATTTACAAACTAAATAAAAGAAGAAATGCACAAAAATTAAGCAGAACAAATTAAATTTAGACCGTAATAGAAGCCTTTCACATAGTGAAAGCATCTTCCAACTAAAGTGAGTGGTTTTATTTGCATTGAAATTAAATATTGTCCTACTCATAAATCCTGAATTTTTTTACGAAGCTTCAATCTGGTGGAAACCCCACGAAGCAAACTATCCTCCTTACGAGCATTTTCACCTGAACTTAATTCATGGCAATGGTTATCTAAAATTCAGATCATTTTATGTTAATTATTTTGCTACTTATTTGATTTCATTAGTATCTGTTACTAGTTTTCACGACTTAATGCACTTTTCAAACTTTTTTGATTCAAAACTCCCGTTTGCTTAATTTCAGTGTCACATTTCGAGGCCTGCGTCACGTGAGCCTTTACGACAGTTACTCAGACCAGGCGGATAATTTTTTTCAAAGATTTTGCTCAGCCTTTGTGAAAAACTTCCTACTTATCATCACTAAAAGTTTACTGTGAATCTTGTCTTATCAAAAAGTTTATAAATTAATTGATGTTATCAATGCAAACCATTTAAGTTACTATAGGCGAGTCAGTGCCGTACTTTGCTCCATTTGATCATTCAACATTTCGAGTATAATTATCTCGCTAAGTTAGACTTGCAAAACAATTTCCCGCGTTTACATAATCAAATTTTCGTTCTCTTAAGCATTCTTTAATTGTTAGGGTGGCTTATATTATGATTTTACTATCAAAGCGCCTTGATGAGTTGATATGCAATTGAATTTGTATCAAACTGTGTTAACGCACACTGTATCTTAAAATAGCTAAAATGTACTGTTAAAAATATAAGAAAACAACAGTTATCGGGAGATAAGTAGGCCACCGGTTTATTAGTCGATAGTAAATGGAAATGGGGTGGGGTATAAGCATATATGCGTTGCGAAATGGCTATCAAAATTGCCTGAAGCAGATTGGAGTAAGATTCAATGCGATGCTCTGGTTGCTTTGTTATAATTTATGTGTCATGTGATTAAGGACAAGCAGAATTGAGTTATAATGTGTCTACTACAGTCCCTTTGAGGTGATCATTAATTATATTAACAAGTTTTGTTAGAATTAAGATTAATTGTAAGAAGGGGTTATACATGGTTGCTCGTTAGTGGGTAATGAGAGCTAATACCAAATTTAACTTCTACTTCGACTTTAGTGCATATGTTTATATGTATTTATCGTAGACATGAAGAAAGAAATTGTTATAAAATTATTGGAAAAACGATTTTGATTGAAATTTTCTACTTTTGAATGATTTAATTGGGTGGCTGATATTATATTTCAGTATATGATACCTTTCGAGATGACACTTGAAAATTAGCAAGAGGTGATGGTTGAAAAAAAAGTTGGATTGAGTGAATTTCTATTATAATCAAGGTTTCTAAAAAGGTAATTTGGTGAGTTGAGCCGAGGATAACATATTAATTTGCCAAAGTAGCGATCACCGCTTTGATACTTTTAGTGAACACCCAATGATTAAGTTTGGATAATAAAGAGGATAGCAAAAAAATCGTGTTCTCCACTTTGAAGGCTCTGTAAAGTTAGTCCTCTTTCCAAGATTTATTTAAAATGACAGGCGTTTTGACAATTATCATTAGCCCTTTAGTTGACAACGTAGTTACAAACACGTTGATGGGGGGGGGGCAGAATAGTGATTAAGAGATGTAAAAGAGACAGACAGTCAAAGGCAGAGAAAAGGCAAAGATGAGTGCTGTGGAAGTGGTCGAATATGGCATAAAACAGGGCCATGGTAGTTTGAAGTCTGAAGTCAACTGCCAATTTATCGACTTTTTTGCCGTATGAGTTTATGTGGTGATACTCCCTTTCCAAAATAAGTGTCATAAAACGCATTCTTAGACGGCCTTGGGAGTTGTAGTGAATCAGACAGGTGATGGCTGTTATGGACGCATGTGGACTCTAAGAGGTTATAGGGTATGCAAAAGAACGCCAACGGGCTATTAGGAATCTCCTATCCCCAGGCGGAAATCTAACTTGATTTTGAGAAAGTTGAGAAAATTTTTTTTTCTAACGAGATAATCTACTTTTTACATTTTTATCATTTCCTCATACTTATATAATTAACTATTTGAATGGTTTAGAGAGTGATTTAGAGTGGTTTGATTGTAAAAATCACAGCTCTATCGTGAATTGAGCATTTCTTTGTTAATGTTGAATAACATTTGACCTAAAAAAATTTACTTCAACGATTTAATTCAACTTCTAGATAAGTTGGCGTCTGTGTTCTGCTTAAAGCCCTCACCGATAATACCTGCATTTTCAAGTTAGTCACAGGCCACCCAGTGTGTTGGTAAAACTGAAAACATGGCACAGAGACTGCGGTGTCTTAGCGGGAAACTTATTTAAATTGTGGTCTTATTCAATTAGAGACACTAGTAATAACGTTCGTCTACAATGACATAAATTTTGGTATTTATTCACTCAAATTCCGCCATTCTCTTTGTCAATTAATCATAAACAGCATGTTTGATAATTGCGTTTAAGAAACTACCAACAGCTTCAGACCACATTGGGAATTCAGTAAAATATTTCTCTTTTAAACTTCTTTTCAATGAAAAAGTGGTTAGGCGAAAGGAGCAGATTTCATTCAACATTATATATTTCTCAAGTCGTTATTGACATGCGTCTTTTCTATGTTTGCGTTTCGGACTTTAATGCATTATTAATCCACTACTAACATGCTAAGAGTTACGAGATTGACTCATTTTCAACTGCATATCTTAATTACGCGGACAGAGAAATATTCATTTTATGGAGTTCTTTTATACCATATCCGTTATGTTAAAATTTTAAGCTGTTAATATCAAGTAAAGTAACTTTGACGTCTTTCCAATTGAGGGGATGAGGGGGGGGGGGTTAATTGAAATAGCCAATCACTTAAATTATTAAACATCGGAGGCAGAAATTCATCACCCTTCAGAATACTACTCATGAAATTTGAATTCCATTCCCTAAAGTACTCAATCAGTAAATGCGGTTCAACCTGGGTCAAAAAAATTCGTGGGACACGTCATCGGATGCCTGCATGCCAGGATTGGGAGGTGAGACCGTAAAAACAGTGACTAATAATTAACCTCTGTTTAACCTAATCCGCCATCCTGATCACGATTTAGCTTCTTGCGTGTACACTTTACCCGCAACATACTGAGTAAACGTGCTCCGTGCTACAAGTATATTAGATTTCCAGATCGATAGCAGAAATTTTGTTCTACTCGGACTTCATGCGCTGACTTAAAGACTTGGAGAGTCAAGCTTTGGTAGAGAGTTGATTATCAATTGGCAGCTGTGGACAGGCCTTGAAAATAAAGTTTACTTCGAACTAATGCCGCAGTGGTTTACTTGTTTATTCTTAAAGCACAAAATTTAGATTATATAATCCTTATTGCTTAATTAATGATCGAAACGATTACCATATTACTTTAATACAGCTAATAGAGGGGTGACAGAACCTGCATCACCTACTAGAGGAGTACTTCGAAGCAAATCAAAGATTATTATTTCAAATGGCAGGCTTTGTGATATTTATCAATAGCCTTTGAACTTTGACTTCAGCTTCCCCCAAGAGGGGTGGGGAGTACATTTATAGCAGTTAATTAATAGCAAATCATTAGCCGTCTTCTTGCTTCTCAGTAACTCTGGCTTTCCGTCTTTGCCTTTAGAGCTGGACACTGAATCAGGTGGGTCTTTTCCATTTCCTCCTGTAGGTTACATAGAGAGCATGTGGGTTGAGTGTATACTCCCAATCTGTAAAGGTGTCTTACCAGGCATTCGTGTCCGGTACGTAGTCTAAACTCAGCAACGGCTTCGAGTCTTGGCCAGTCGGGTATGTCGGAGAGTGCAACTGTCCACTGTTTCTCCTTTGCTCGAGATTTAAGTTCGTTGCACCTTGAGGTCGGGAATTCTCTTCTTATTAGGGCTTTCATTGTGTGAAAAGACATCGGCCGGTCCATGCATTGCAAAATCGTTGTCCCCTTCTTAGCAAGTGTGTCAGCAATCTCATTGCCTTTAATGCCACAGTGACCATGAATCCATTGTAGGACCACTGTTTTGTTTTTCTCTCTCAGCAGCTCATAGAGTTTTCTACATTCCTTTATCTCAGCTGTATTGGGTGTCTCTCTATTTCCAATTGTGTTTATTGCTGACTGTGAGTCCGAAAGTATCACCGCTTTGGTAAATTTCGTATCCAGGCAACATAATTGACATAGTGCTATCCTAATAGCCTCTATTTCTTCTTCAAAAGCGGATCTATTATGTCCCGCTGCTGCGTAGAAAGAGAAGAGTTCAGAATAGACATCTGCACCAACGTTTGCTTGGCTTTCTATGTATGACCCATTAGTAAAGACTTGGAGCCATTGATCTGCAGGGTAGTTGACATTGATTGTCTCAAGGGCCAGAGAGCGCATTTGCTCTGAAGGGGTGTTTGATTTCCTAAAGAAGTCAAGCAGTTAGGCACAACACACAACATAAGTGTCTGCTAATGGATTCTGGGTAGAGGGAGGCTTTTTGATTTGTCTACGTTTTGTAATACTTTCTTCAGTTCTATGTCTTTCTGTATTAGACCAGATTGTCTTGGTCTAATCTCATACTTTCTGAAGAACTTATCCATGGGAATGCGCAGTAGCTTCTCATACAGGAGAACTTATCCATGGGAATGCGCAGTAGCTTCTCATACAGGTTCAAGGCCTTTTCTTCGATAAGGGAGCATATTGTAGTGCTTCCTCTCACTAGGAGCATTGCACCAATGGGTGTTGATTTTATCCCTCCAGTAATTAGTCGTAATGGTTGTTTAAGTGCGTTCTCGAGTGGTTTGAGATTCACCTCTGTGGCTGTAATGAGTGGATCACAGCAATACAACATTGTTGGCTGAACAAACATCATGTAAGTGGTGTTAAGAGTTGAGCGTGCACAGCTCCATACGCTACCAGCAAGACGTTTCAGTACATTCAGTCTATTGGAGACTCGTTCTGCTATTTTAGCAACTCAAAGATGAAGTTGAAAGTTTCATACCTCCTCTTAGATTTAAGCTCTATAATACATTCGGGCTGTTGGCATAGTGACAATTTGACCCGAGAGAAAGAAGATAATCTTATGTAATGAACTTGACTATGTTTGCTTTCTGTCTCTGGGAGGGTCTCCGAATGAATAAGGTTGAAACATTTGGACTTTGAACAAACTTTACCATAGATATACAAACGAGGAGGGCTTTTTTGGTGAAAGGAAATAATAAATCAGAAATTTGAATACCTTAGACGGTCTATTTAATAGGCATAGCTCGTTGCATTGGTGTTAAATTTCTTCAAGATTCAACATCTATGATTCGGCTAAAATCAATTCTAAGTAGTCTCAGTTAGTACCTAGCTCATGTTTATTTAATCCCTATTTAACTTCATAGAGTGCACAAGTTCTACTTGAACTTCATATGCACTCTTTGTAAAGATTCAATCTGTCAGGACGCATGATTGACTCCAATCCCGAGTGGTCTCTGAGTCGTTTTTCAGTTAAACTAGTATGCGGACGCATTCTCTCTAGACAAAAGCCATCTCGTCAAACGTCTCATTTATGATAACAGTTTTGCTAAATGCGGTAGGGCTTCATAAAACTGCAATTTCCCTTTCGGATCTGAAACAACCCTAGAACAACCACTTCTGGTAGTAGTATAACAGTGGAACTATACGCCGTGGCAATATAATAAACCAACTGAATAATTTACTTATGAGTAGAATATCTCTCTAACACTTCTGTCTGAGTCATCAGCTCTACCATTGGACTATTATCCCCCTCCCCTCCATCCACTTTCTTCCATTTATGAACTTAAAAGGCCCGTATCCCTTTTAGTCAACTTCTAGTGAGACATCACCAAAAGTCATAAGAAAAAGATTAAATGTTTTAATATGATAAAAGCGTTATAGTTAATAGACTCAAGAAAGAAGCAACTTTAATTTATAATTTAAGCCGATATATAGAGAGGTTAGGATGATTAATTGTCTATTCGCATTGCCAATTCGACGGCTGACAGTTCTCAGAGTAGGCTGAATAAAGTTCAGCTCTAAAACAAAGAAAAAGAAAATGTTAGCAGTCTCTGTACCCCCCCCCCTCAACCCTCACTTAGGTGGGTGACTCAAAACGACCGATATAGAAAGCAGGTTTAGAGGAGGAGTTCGGAAGGAGGGTTAGAAACAAAATAAATTTACGCCATTGTAAAGTGGAGAATTGTGGAGTTTTTTGCACCTTCTAAACTAAGTCAGGCTATCTGAAAGGTCGAGAGGAGGATAAGGTCTGCGTGGTTTAAGACTAAAAGGGAATCGGTCCCGAAATGAGCAGAGCAAAAACAATTGCACTTTAAATTGCAGAAATAGAACTGCTTAAAGAAAGGTCAATGTGAGGCATAATAGGGAAACATTTCGTAAATAGGATATGAGAATCTATTTGCGCCATGGTACTGGGGAGAGAGTAGTCTCAGGACGAGCCCTCTCACAGCAATTATGAGAGAAGTTTGTCGTTGTCAGATGCTACTAATATCATTTTGGAATGATTGTAAAAGTAGTGAGACGACATTAGCTATGGATTATTGACCTGATCCTTCAATGGGAAAAGTTTCCTTAGTCAAATTAATGTGAAATTTCCAAAATATTCGGACAAATAAAACAACACCCTTAGTTATAAGTTGTTCGGAGAAAGAAGAGAGGGTACTTACATTCGGTTTTGAATTTCCAAACACTCCTTCCCATAAGCAACGAAACGTCTGGAGTCCATTCGGCGCCCATCAAACGCTGCCGAAGCATCATCATAGAATCTTAATTGTTTTGCCCTCTCCATACAAGTGGTAACAACCAAGTAATACACCTTTTTTACTTCATTGCCATCTTGGAGTTCAATTGAGGCGGGAGTAGGCAATCCCGCAAGATGTTCCGATGTAGCTGACGACGCCTGGGACCCAATATCGACATCATGATCACCATACTCATCATCATAACCTACTCCTTGGAAAGCATCTTCTCCACCTAAGTTACTGCTAGTTTGAGTAAGACGTCGCTTCGATCCACTGGCGCTGCTGTTCAAACTGCGATCAGAGATGTCTGCCAAAGATGTTGAGAGACCTTGACGATACTTAAGTAAAGATGCTAATGATGATGATGATTCAATCGCCCCCAAAATAGATTGATTTTGAAGCGGGAAGTTTTCAAAGGCACTCCTGATGGCTTCTTCGTTAGTCTCGGAGAAGTGTCGAATATCTCGAGCCGGAGTAGCGGAGCAGTGAATTTCCAATCTGTCAATACCGTAGACAATAGGCGGAAGACGTGGATCACTAGAGAATGAAAGCAGAATTTCTATATTTGAAAAGCATCATGTGATAATCAAGTGAATAAAGAAACATACATCTAAAAACGCTTCTAAGGATTAAAGGAAATTAAGCGTACCAATAATAATGTGATTAAAGAGACAATGACGTGAGAGTGGCGTATAAATGACGTCAAGGTAATGGTGTTGAAATGATCCACAATGCATATCTATCAGGTGTTCAATAGTGAAGAAATCGATGCCCGTCTGACCACTAACAATTAATAGGACAGTTTACGCAATTAACTAAATATGGCAACGAATCGTGTTGATAGAATGAGAATTTATTATCACACTCAAGCTCCAGGACATTGTGGCACCTAAGACCTCAGTATCTAGCCTTATTATGGGCTTTATTTGACGTAAAGTGAACAATGTTTGTGCGGCGCACTCCTGACATTAAATTCATCGCGTTTCTCCGTCTAATCGGTTGTAATGGAAGTAATATACAAACATTTCATCTAGTAATGACCGTGTTCTCTCCCGATACGTCACAGACACTGCCTCAAGCCAATGCAAGCACCGTTAGTTCGTTTTGAATACGTATGAGAAGTGGGATTCAAACTGGCACCAATGACGAGTACATAATATATATAATGTAAAAAGTAATCTCGGGGATAAAAAATAAGAAAAGCATTAGCAGAGAGAAGAAGAGTGATCGAAGACCACTTTATTCAACAACTTAAGCATTAACTCAAATGACCCAGGCTGAAACGTCCACCAAATCTTCTACGCCTTGCCTAATTGCTCTCATTTCTAGCGTATGATTCAGGCTTGTGAAAATGGGTAATCAATAGAAGAAACAGACTATTCCTTTCTGAATAAAGGGATGGGTCTTCAGCCGAATCCATAGTACGCCACTGAGGCAACAATTAAATTATTGGTAAAAATTTAATCCTCCATAGGCAGTCCACTTTAAAACAAAGGACTATTTGGGATATTAGACAGCTTTAGCCATCTCAATCGAATGAGTATAAGCCATGTTATTAGACTAGTAATATTACTCGAGACAAGGCAGCAATAGCATTAAGTTATTGGACATTTTCAAACGGGAAAACAAAAAAAAGATTACTTATTTTAAGTTAATAATGGCCTGCAAGCACACTAGAAATGCATACGGCACTGCATTTGAAAATTTGGAGGGGAATCTCAGTGCCGCTTGAGACATTCACGTCCCGAAAACCATCTTATGGATTAGAATTAGTTATGGTAGGTGGCCACTTAGAGTACTGTATATGCACCAAAGGGCACTGGTCCCGTGACCACCACTTATGAAAAATGGTACATATAGGAGCTATAAGTTATCAAAGACAACGAGGAAAAGAAAGGTGACACAAACTTGATCTTAGGTAAATACGATCAAAACAAATACTCTCAAAGACATTGGAATCCAGGTAAAGATATCATTTCTAAAAGAGTAACGTAGATAATAAAATGCATATTCTTAAGCGTAGTAAAAGATTATTCGATAATTTGGACGTGAGTTTGGTTTAGAAAATATGATCAATTACAATGATAACAGATACCTCAGACACCTTCAAGAGCAACCATAAAGTGTAATAGTTTCCCACATATATTATTATAAATTCGTCGTCATTATTGCTATGTGAACGATAGTTCCGAAGACAGATAAAGGGAGGAGCTTTCTAACTTTAAAGACCTGCACTCTACCACCTTTGCATTTTGCCATGGGGAACAACTACCTTACGTATTCCTACCACTACCAAGCCTAGTTATCGAAAGGGCTTTTTACTGCTCATTTTAAGTGTAGTTGTAACATCATGCGATCTAGTGAAAAAAACAACTTCCATTTCACTCTTTCGCTGCACATAGAACAAACTACCTTCGATTCTAACGTGTGCTTACAACTATTAACTTAGAAGATACATTTTACCGATTTTTTTGCCCACCTCAATAATGACATGTAATAGCCCATGCCTAGCTAAATGACTGATTCTGTGCTTATGACCCATAAAGTACGCATTTTGACCACCGTTGCACCGGTGAAAATTGCAGTCTTCACAATATAACTCATTGACTGTAGGAATTTAACAAACACTGCCTTAGTGATAGAGGTATAAGAGGGGTTCTTGACCACACTAAGCATTCCCAACGTAAAGCTGAACTTGCCCAGGTAATTCTTCCAGTCGAACAATGAGTTCAATACCACCTCTAGACAATGCACCGAAACAGCTATTGTAGCATCCGATGGTACACACTATATCCTCAGTGGTAAATCCTTTCGGATAACAAAGCATGCTCCCATTAGTTGGTGATTGTGACTTCCATGAGCAAATATGCAGACCAGTCATTGCTGGGCCCTGTTGACCTTCAAGACATGGCGAAGGTGGTTGCACGGCCATCGCCAACTGGTGGTGGTCCAGATGCAGGAGAGCAGTTAAATGACCCTCCAAGTAGCAGTAATTAGTCTGGAGATTCTGGATGTTGATCAGGCTTCGAGAGGCGTCCGCGAAATTGTGCGACTCCACGGGGTTCAGCACGAGGGTACTTGGAGATTTGACCTCTGATTCGCAGGCATGATTTGGGCATCTAAAAATGCGTTGGCAATGGCTGATAATCTGACGCTTTAGCAAGTCAGTGATCAAAGGTTGGCAAATGTCAAGGTGTTAGATTGTCAATTCTAGGGGGAGCATGTCCATTGAACGGAATTACTAACACTAAAAGCGATTTAAGGAGATTGCCGATATGCTATTTGAGCACCAAGGAGAATTCAAGACCAATAATTATCTCCCTCCTCACCTCGGGTGAGATGGAGACAAAACTAATTTATTCAAAGCAAAGCATACGTCACCTGCACAATAGTTAAAAGATTTTTTGTGCTTTTGAGACTATAACATAACAGTCAAGAGTAGCATCAATGCCGAGCATTGATTAATAACAAATGTCGATGTTTGTTAACCGAAAATGAACGAAGAAAATGCCAATTCCATATTTATTTAAAAGGAGTGCAGGAATTTTGGCCCAATATTCAAGAAGTGATGCAAATGCACTTACATTGGACCCCTGGAAGCGCTCTAAACCGTGTAACCTTGTATCGACAGATGGTGAAAACAACCTATTCAATCGAATACCAAATTAAAGTGATAATTTCAGTGAAATCAATATCTGCCCTCAAAAAATGCTTTTTCAAAAAACACAAAAATTGCTTAGACTTTTTTAAGTATGATTACAGTTATTCTACGTCAATACCTAATTATTGCTTCATTGCGCCTTGAATGAGCAGTAAACAAGGGAATAACACGAATCCGAAGGTTGGAAGACTTCGGAGGTAACCGAAAGCGGGTGCGCATCACAAAGGGTTTATCCCGCTTGACAAAAAGAACCCTTTTGCCATTAGGCCCAGTGTAGAGCCTGTAAGCCTTGGCCAACTCGTCGTCTGTAAAGTCTAAGTGAAAGTCGTATTGACCCAAAAAAGGGTGCCTAAAACGCGACACAGTGAATAAGGTAGATTAATAGGTTATGTGAGGAGCATAAAGAACACATACCTCGATTGAACACTCATTGAAGGATGAGTCGTATGTAGTGGTGATAACAGCTAAGACAAAATATGAGAACATCAAAAAGTTAACAAACTTTTTTAACGGACTCAAGAGTATCAAAAGACCAATTCATCATTTTTGCCTCAAAATACACTAAATATGGGTAACCGCGAGAGCCGAAATCTGCTAATGAATTCGAGAAGTGAACAAATGAAATGACCTTGAAAACGATAGAAACAATAAAAAACTATTTATTACCTTTATTCAAGAATTGTCAGCTATAGATTAGGAAATTTTTAGCTTATATTTTGTGAATAATGAGAATAAGAATTCGTTGCGGTATTGATTTTAACATAAATTTAAAAATTTATATAAAACGGCAGGCGCTTTTATAGCTATCATTAGCCCTATAGTTGACTTCAGGTTTCACAGAGGGGAAGGAACATCAAAGTAAAAAAGTTGAGAGGGAAGACAGAAGAGTGATTCAAGACGTAAAAAGACACACAAAGGTAGAAAAAGTTGAGTTGAGCACTGTGGAAGAAGTCAAATATGACATACAGTGGAGTGATGGTAGTTTTAAGTCTGAAGTCAAATGCCGGTAAATAGACTTTTTTGCCGTATGAGTATACGTTTCACAGGGTGCATCACGTGGAGGTAAGTCTATCGCAAAATCCAAATTTTAACATAAATGACTAAAAAATTAATTGTAAAATATATTAAATATAAAGTTTGGCAGAAAATTCAGCAATATCCAGTGGAAATTCAATAATAAAAATGAATGTCAAAATTGAGTGACCGGGATGCCCTATAACACAAATTTTAGATAGTTCGTATTTATAGAGAACTCAACTTTAGCATGGTAAAAGTAGAGAAGCGATTCGTGCCAAGAAGCAAATAAAGTCACAAATATAGAAAACCCTCGACTAATCATTGGCCGAATTCATTACGTGGTTACCACGCCCAAAAGTGTATATGATGACCAAGCGCCTTGTCAACCGAAAAAAAATTCTGTTCCAAAATTCACAAAAAACATGTTCAACCCGGCATTGCATTTATAATGCTTACTCGTACAAGAGTATGATAACCAGATCCATTTCGAAGTTTCAAAAGGCAAGCTGGAACATTATTCTCTGAAAGCACACAGTCGGAAAAATTACAAATATATTCAAGGATTGCCACACACAAGCATTCATTCAGCAGCGAAGCTGATTATCAACCGTTTCAAATAGGAACAAATTCGACAAAAAAACTAAGTCCATGGTAAAACCAGCGTGTCCGTCTCCCCGCTTTTAACAAATTAATGTTTGTGTTAATAGTATTAGTATTAGGAGACTTCAACGCCCATTCAACAGATGGGGCTACAAAGATACAAACGTAACTGGAAAGGAAATTAAAGACATGCTAAACAACAACCCTCTGGAACTTATTTACAGCAATGAGGATCCGGCGACATATTTGCACTACAATGGAACCAGAACAACTCCTGACTTACTTCTGGGTTCAAGCGACATCAGTGAGCTTACACGCCGCAAAATAAATGACGATCCTGGTTCTGGTCACAAACCAGTCATTGCTAGTGGCAAGCGACATCAGTGAGCACACACACCGCAAAATAATTGATGATCCTGGTTTTCTGGTCACAAACCAGTCATTGCTAGTATTACCATCGGTTGCAAAAGCATGAGCTGGGTCACAAACCAGTCATTGCTAGTATTACCATCGGTAGCATAAGTATGACAACGAAAGAGCCAACTAAGCTGTCATGGAACTTTAAGAAGGCTGACTGGTCTAGTTGCACAAACATTTAAGAGAATGAACTTCAAAAAAGTCCACTCAACTTTAACCAACATCCTGACAAACTTTGCACTGCTATCACGAATATTATGATTAGATGTGCAAAAAACTATTTCCCGAGGCAAAACTAAACACTATCGAGTGTTTTGGTCTAAACACCTTGAGGAACTGAAACGAAAGAGGGACGCCATTCGCAACACTGCTGATCAGACTGGAAGAACGGAAGACGTACAAGTCTGGAGACGACAATCAGCTGTCCTAAGGCAAGCCATCTTACAAGCTAAATGGACTTCCTTCGACAAGTTCATCTCAAATATCAACTATCAAAGTGATAGCCAACGGACTTTCAAATTTCTGATAAACCTGCAAAAGAGCAGAGAAAGACCCAAGAAAGAACCAATACGCTTAAACAGCAAATTGCTTACCACCGACACCGAAATATCTAACTGCTTTGCGAGGTTCTATTCCCACAAGCAAAAGAAAAACCCTTTTGTCAGAAATTCTTCAAGAGATTTAATGATAAAAGTGGGACAGTTTGGTGAAATTAAGGAAGACATAGGAACACCAAATAATGTACTTACTGAACCATTCCGACCTTGCGAACTTAATGCTGCGATAAAACAGCTGAAGTGCAAGAAGTCTCCTGGCGAAGACGGTATTCATCCAGCTAAACTGCAAAAGGTCTCCGGTATTCATCAGGAATTTCTGAGTAAAATGGGAGCAAAAGCCAAGGAAACCATGCTGACGCTTTTCAACTAAATCTGGGAGACCAGTCTCGTACCTAACCAATGGAAGGTTGCCATATTAAAACATAAAAAGGGCAAAGACCCTACCAACTTTGACCACTATAGGCCTATCTCCATCACAAGCGTTCAGGCTAAACTTTTGGAAAGAATAGTTAACAGGAGAATGACCTGGTTCCTTGAGACCAACAATATTCTTATGAGAGAACAAGGAGATTTTATGCCACAAAGATCAACGAAACAACAAGTAGCCACCTTCTCCCAACACATCAAAGATGCCCTTGATGCGAGAAATACCCTTACGGCTGTTTTCGTCAATTTCAAATCAGCATATGAATTAGTATGGAAAAAGAAGCTAATTCTAAATTTGACAAAGATTGGTATTAAGCATAACAGGCTAAACTGGATAAAAGCATTCATTGGACAAAGACAATGTAAAGTCAGATATGGAGATGCTCTATCAAAATCCTATCTTTTACAAACAGGCCTTCCACAAGGAGCTGTCACAAGCTGCACTATTTCCAATGTCTTCATCAATGACATAGCCGAATTGGTACAGACAGTCACAGGCCATCAAGTGCTTACTTTATGCAGATGATCTTGTTCTATGGTATTTCGCCCCTCAGAAAAACGCTCAGGAGATGACAGAAAGCGCCCTAAATTGGGCACTTAAATTACTAGCAAACCGGTGCGACAACAATGGAATGGTAATCAATACCGCGAAAACTGCATTCCAAACCTTTTCTTTGGCCCATAACAGCATAAACCCACTTCTAAGGTACAAGGATACTACCCTAGAAAAAACCAATGACTTCACATATCACGAAATGACTTTTGACACAAAGTTAACGTGGAAAAGTCACATTGCTAAAATAGCAGAACGAATGACTTCACATATCACGAAATGACTTTTGACACAAAGTTAACGTGGAAAAGTCAC